CCCTACACAAAGCCTCTGGCCATCACATCGCTCACTGCAGCACCTTGATCCAAAGCAGCATGCACTTACACTAAGAGGGCTGAGTCTCAGGGGTGCCCGTGTCAGTTTGACGCTACAAAAGATAAAAAACAAGGCAGAGTCAGTGTGCATCGGGTGCAGTCCTCCTCCAGCTTTCCAAATGCTGCTCAGACCCTTTCTTGGTCCAGGATTTCTCTCATCCACATGAAGATACAAGGAAATTGAAAATAGGGCAACTTTTTAAAAAAATCTCTTATCACTTCAGGGATACATTTGGCCTGAAGTTGGGACTGGGAGGAGGCAGGAAAGCTCCAGCAGCTCTTTACATCTCTACCACATCTACAGGACATTCCCCCATCGCTGCCAGCAGCCCCATCTTGTCGGGCTCCTGGGAGCATCTCCAGCCAGAGCCCCCTCCGACCGCAAAGCTCGGCTCTACCTGTCAAGATCCAGGGTGGTTCGCAGTTTGCCATCCGACACTGATGGGATGACGTTCAGAATGATGTCCTGAAATTGGAACAACAGAAGAAATGAAGTTATTTCCCTGCATAGCTCCCAAGACTGAGTATTTGTAAATAACCCATTCCAAGAAAAAAACCTGTGTGTGCCTAGAAATCACATTTTTTTTAACAGATTACATCATCTGTCTCTCTCCCCAGGGCTCACCCTTCCTGTCTTGGTTACAAGCATTTTAAAAGGACTGGGCACCACCATTTTGAAGACATAGTAAATTCAAAAGTACAAGTACTACACAGCTAAGGAGAGGACAAGCTGAGAGGACGCCATGGAACACCCAGACTCACCCCTCGCCCTGGTTCAGAGGTCTCATCCCCCGGGAGCCCACTCACCGTGTCGAGGGAGAAGAGGGGCTTCTGGGACAACTGCAGGAGGGGACTGAAGACATCAATAGAGGCTTTGAGGGTGGCAGTGGCTCTTCTGCCCCTCACGGCCACCACCGGCTCGTTGGCCACCCGCACGTGCAGCTCCAGTGGCAGAGAGCCGGGGAGGATCTTGGCAAGCTGCATGGGGCAGGGGGAGGTCAGGGCAAGAGGGTCTTTGCATGATCGGGGTGGGTGGTGGGGTTGGAGAACAATGGACACAGAAGAGGTGGCTGACCTGGGGGATGACTGGGAGAAGGGCAGATGTGGACAGCGAGATGCTATCGGGCACCTGTGGGAACAGCACCAGCGGTGTCAGCAGCCGGGAGGGTTGTGCAAAGCCCACGCTGTGCTCAGTTGGACCCCACAAAATGCACGCACGTGGTGGTGAGCACCCTTGGGTCACCCAAGAGTGACCAGGACTCCACCCAGAGAGGGGTGTCATGACCCACCATGAAGTCAGTGATGTTGAGGTTAAAGGCTTCCTGCCCCTGGACCGGCTCCAGCAGGACGTCGAGGGCACGCTGGGAGAGGCTGAGCTGTGGCGGGTGGCCGGTGGCCAGCAGCAGGGTGGCAGTGAATGGCCGTCCCTGCGTGGAGGCCACCACACTCCCCTCCATGTCCTCAAAGGGGAGCTGCAGGGGACAGAGTACGGGAGGGACATTGGCAGGGCTTGGTGTGGTCACACTGGGCATCGTGCCTGCCCACAGACCTCGCGGAGAGGCTCACACAGGGATAATCAACACTTTAACAAACACACGGCTGCTTCAGGCTGTTCTAGCACCGGTGATGGCTGCATCTGCTACAGCTTTCCCTTTAACACTGTCACATCTCCCCATCAGAAAGACACATTGCCAGTATTTTTGGCCTGATTATGGTCCCTATCAATTACATACCAAACTGTTACAAACCACATACAAATGGAACCTGCTTGTGAACAGTGACCACTGCTCCTGTATGAAATTAAGCTAGTCTGATTAACAACTATGCAGGTGCTATAATTATACTTAAGTAAGCAACGTCAAGCCACTCTGTCTTATGCTACCCCCAAGGATTAGCAAGTAAAAAATAAGGTAGAGACCCAGTGGTGGCATTAGCATGGATGTGGTTGGACCACACTTGTCACTACCTTCCAGCAAATGCTTTCCTGAAGACAGCTGAAGTAAGAGGAGCCTTTGACAAATAACCACCATATTCAGATGGATTACCCAAACCCACTCAAGTAAAAAGGTTTTGGGCCAGGGGGAGCGGTGACACTTACGTTTAGGTCCAGCTTGATAGCGTTGCCACTGATGATGGAAAAGGGGGGCAGATCTCCCAGACCCCCGAGCGGGAGGGTGGCTGTGGGACACAGGGAGGAAAGCTTTGAAGCTGCAATGAGAGTGGGGTGCTCCCAAATCTTATAGTCCAAGAGATATCGGAACCAATGGCAGCTCCTGCTCACAGCGTTCCCAGCTGGACAAGCTGCTAGAAAGCACTAGTTTGCAGCAAAAAACATTGTTTATAAAAGCAACAGTTCCTGAAGTGGCTTTCTGTGGCAAAAATTGTCTGATGCTGCTCTGGGACAAGGGAAATTGAATGTTGTGCTCGAGCTGAGAGTTGTTTTTTTAGGAAGTGGTTAAAAGATTTGTATTTACTCAATGTAAAAAAGAAACCAAACCCCACACCCAACCCTAAGTGCAGGGGGACACAGGAGCTGAGGAAAAGGAGGGTGCGGCACTTACGGGTCCTGGAGCCAAGCAGAGCGCTCACCATGTTGAGTTTGGTGTTGATAATGTCGCACCCCTGGGGACACAGAAGAAGGTTAGAGTCCTGGGACCCGCAGCACCAGCAGATGTACGTTGCATTAACACAGCTAGCAAAAATTTTCTCTGCTGGGGTTGCACAGCGCGGGCAGGAGCTGCTGCCGGGCAGGGTTTGCTGGGATGCCCCATTACTGCAGCACTCAGCGTCAGGCGGGCGAGTGGCCCCTCTAAGCCAGGGTGGGTTTCACCTCCCGAGCGAGACCTGCTCACTGCGACCGCTAAACCAGCGCGTGTCTCAGAAACCTGTTTGCCGGTGGAGCCTGGCACAGGTGATGGCACAGGCAAGGTGCTGATGCCCGCTGGTGGGGAGGACGGGCTGGCCAACCCGGCTGAGCCCGCAGCTGTGCAAACAGCCACGTCCCTGGGGGCAGCCTGGCCCATTGCCTGCCCTGCCTGCGCTGCCTGCCCTGCCTGCCCTGCCCACGCTGTCCATGCTGCCTGCCTGCCCAGCACCGTGCTGATGGCTCCCATGAAGATTGCTTTGCAGACTTACCATCTCACTCAGGACATCACTAAGGTAGCGTTTTAAAGGCTGATCCAGAAGTGGCACTTTGGGTCTGGGTAACAGGAAAATAGGAAATAAAAAGTGATGTAGACTAGTGGCTGGAAAATAAAAGTACTTTGCACAAGAGAAATACGAGGCTTTGCTTGCACTGTCCAGGGCCATATTCAGTGACAAAATATTATCAAAACCAAGCCCTCTGAATCCGGCCCGCTGCTAGGTTCCCAGCACAACCCAGAAATATTCTTTCTAGAGCCCAAATTTTAAAAGAAAGGTTGGCAGTTCCCATCCGAGGTCAGTAGCCAGGTAGTTCAGCCTCCAAGGTGGCAGGCACAAAAGTGCTGACTTCGATGGCCAACAGCGCCAAGGTTTCCCACTGCCACAGGGGCCACATGCTGGGCACAGGCACCCTGCTCACATGGATGCTGACTCACACAGGTGCTACCTCACATGGATGCCTACCTCACATGGATGTTTATGTTAGAAGTCTTGCAGTCCTTATTGTTCTGGAGAGCTGCCCACTTGTCCTGGACCAGCATGGCCACATCTGCTTCCACCTGCACACAGAGCACCCTGCCCGCTGCACTGCACAGGGAGGAGGAAACATGACATGTAGCTCAGGAGCTTTGCTGGCCATCTACTTTCCAAAGAGATGGTGACTCCTCCCGCTCCGAGCCATGCCCCCAGTGGACACATCGTACCTTTTGGTCTCTACCAACAGCTGGGTTTTGAAGCCCACCTGATGCCCAAGGCCTGGCAGGGAGCGCAGACTTATTTTGGGGAGAGTGTTGTTCACAATTTTTGCCCTGGATGGTTGAAACAAAGAAAAGGCAGTAAGTAGCACATTTGTAGTGTGGATGCCCTGTCCCCCTCAGCCCCTAGCACTGTGGCTGATTGCAGAGAGGTCTCATGGTCCTCTGTGCCCTGGATCAGCAGGGATCCCTACCACCCAGGAGCAGCTTGTGGCACATACAAGGCACCCTTGCATGGCAGGCACAAACAGAAACTCGAAACAGCTGAAGCCTTGTTTATGAACCTGCCCCAGAAAGAGAAAGGGTTCTTCTGATTTTCTGTGTGTTCAGACAGCAGGCTCCAGACCAGAGCTTTCTTTCCCCAGCATGGCATAGACACATTGAGGGCTGTTCAGGGACACCCATCTCCGACTCTCACTCACCCTGTGAAATCTCCACCATTTCCACCAAGAAGATTGCCAGTGAGACCATCTTTGCCAAGGAGACCATTTTTTCCCATGAGAAGATCGAGGACAACATCAAGGAGACCATCAACAAGACCATCTTTTCCAAGGAGACCATCAACAAGACCATCTTTTCCAAGGAGACCACCAAGGACACCATCTCCACCAAGAAGACCACCAAGGACACTATCTCCACCAAGAAGACCGCCAGCAGCACCATCTCTGCCAAGGAGACCACCAAGGACACCATCTCCACCAAGAAGACCACCATCAGCACCATCTCCACCAAGGAGACCACCAAGGACACCATCTCCACCAAGGAGACCACCAGCAGCACCATCTCCACCAAGGAGACCACCAAGGACACCATCTCCACCAAGGAGACCACCAGCAGCACCATCTCCACCAAGGAGACCACCAAGGACACCATCTCCACCAAGGAGACCACCAGCAGCACCATCTCCACCAAGGAGACCACCAAGGACACCATCTCCACCAAGGAGTCTGCCAGCAGCACCATCTTCACCAAGGACACCATCTTCGCCAAGGAGACCACCAAGCACACCGTCTCCACCAAGGAGTCTGCCAGCAGCACCATCTTCGCCAAGGAGACCACCAAGGACACCATCTCTGCCAAGGAGTCTGCCAGCAGCACCGCCTTCACCAAGGAGACCACCAAGGACACCATCTCTGCCAAGGAGCCGGCCAGCAGCACCGCCTTCACCAAGGAGACCACCGAGGACACCATCTCCACCAAGGAGTCTGCCAGCAGCACCATCTCTGCCAAGGAGACTGCCAAGAGGGCTATCTTTTTCAAGGAGACCAAGTGGAAGTTTCTGGAGGTTACGTTTGGTGAGTGACTTTGTAATATCTGAAAAAAAAAGGATGAGAGTTCACTGTGAGCTATGTGGATTCAGCACACAAGCATGCTGTGTCAGCCTGGCTGTTCCTTCCCATCCACTGTCCCTCTATTTCCCTTTTTATACAATAGGGGTGGTGGCACCAGCCACTATAAAATATCTGAAGTACCATCTCCAAAGTGCTTTATAAATGCAAATTGTCAGCATTGCCACTACTGCTGAACGGATCTAGACCAGCTTCTGATTTTCTGAGCATGGTCAAGAGACAGAAAGAGCAGAACTGGTCGCAAAAAAAATTACCAATCCTGTCTCTTCCAAACGCTTACCATCTACATCCACTTTGGCAACCGAGGGCATGATTCCAAGTCCTTGTGAAGGGGTCAGCAGGCTGCAGAGGAGGAAGACAGCCCAGAACGCAGACATCTTCAGTCCCGATAACTGTGGAAAGTGATTGCCATCAGTGCAATGCTGGGACAGTGAGCACAAGCCAGTGGAGGGAGGAAAGAGGAAGATGAAGAAAAGAAAAAGGAGAAATGCCTGTCAGGGAAGACAAAATCAAAGAGGAAGCTGCTGGCATCTCTCCTGCCTCCTGACCACACTGACGGGCCCAGTAAAACTCCTGATGGCACTTTCCTGCAGGAGGAACCAAAACTTCAACAGCAGTTGCTCTAAAGACCGACTGCCACAGCAGCCAAGTGAAAAGTGGTTGTTCAGTTTTCCCTGCTTTAATCCCTCAGTGCCGGTGAGCAATGTTGGTGACTGATCTGGATGATCTGGGGAGCATCTGTTCTGGGTGGGAATTTCTCTGAGAAAAAAGATCCTGCCTGATGGGGAAACAGGTTGTTTCTGACAACGTGATCGTCTCTGGTCACGGAAAGAAAAGCAAAAGCATCTACCCAGGACAAATGCACCAACATATCTAGTAAGGAGAGCATCTCCTTGTTTGAATGTCATGATCTTCACACAAACATCAAACATCTGAGGCTTCCCTCTGCCTAAAAGCACCTTTTGCTAGAATTGTAAGAAAGAGAAAATAATTTTTAAAGTTCCGGTGTCATTGAAATATTTCTGTAGGACTTATAATTTGAAGTAGCTTTCTTTTTTTTTTAAAGAACCATAATGAACTTCATTGTCCCAAATCTATTTAAATGTAAATAGCACATCAAAAAGGGATCAAAACAAGCATGAGAGGTCTAATTCACCTTAGGTAAAAATCTATCTCAGATAACAGAGTTATACCAAAAATAATTTAAGTGATAATTGTTTATGAAAACCATGAAATACCCTTTCTTCTTCAAGGACTGCAAATACAATGAACATGCATGTCTGTTTGTGAGAAACTCATAGTGAAAGCAGCCACACATTTTACTTGTCAGAGCATAATTCAGGCAGGCGGCAGGCAGCAGGCAAGAATAACAATTTTTGTTAAAAAGCCAATACTCCTAAACAAATGTTCAGAATTCTCCCTTGGGAAACATCCAGGTTTGCAGAAGCAGAAGCTAAGAGTATGCTTTTTGAGGAATAAGTTTGCTCTTACCTGACCAAGCTCTTGAGTGCGAGGATCTCCCCAACCAATACCCCTGTCTTCTGAAGATGACCTGCATCAAGCGTCCTCATATATAGAGAGCTTTACAGCAGGAAAGAGGCAAGCGATGTCATCAAGGACATCCAGAATAATTGGTGGGGAGCAACACAAACAATGTACAGTTTCTGGTGATTTCCACTGCAAATATTTCCTTAGAGATGTTAGGAGTTAGGTAAATCATTGAGCAACGACCCGTAGGTGCAGAGGCAGACTCGGCCAGCTCTGGGTGCCAGTCTGTATACCACTACCTGGTTTAGAACATCATCCTTTTGGGCCTGCTTTCATGTCTAGATGTGGACATGGCTGAAAAGTCATGCCCTGATAAAATACTCTTTTCTTTTCTTTTCTTTTTTTTACCAAATCAAATTGAGATTTTGTCTGAAAAATGTGTCAAAATACTGAGTACCTCTCGCTGTCAAGTACTTCATCAGTTCTCAGTGCTGCATTACTGAGCACTTTACCCTTGCAGTAAGCCCATGCAGTGGGGATGCACAACACATTATGGGCAATAAAGGAAGGACTAGGCAACACCTTTTTCAATGTAAAGACAGACTGTGGAGATAGTAACAGAGCCAGATATTCACCATCCAGGCCAGCAGGACATGCCCAGCTTTCCCATCCCAATGTGCCTTCAGACTGTGACCTTACCCAACATTTATCAAAGCCAACAGCACCTGTCCAGTGACCTGAATGGCTCATAACCCATTTGATAACTGAGGAAAAGGAGATATTGAATTGGGAAGGAATAGTGACACCATGATAAGGCAGCTGGATTGAGTGTCATGGCTTTATGGATACCCTGAGCTGACAGGCTCTTCAGAGAGACACCATCTGATTCGGAAATGCTGCACTGGTCTGTCCAGCATGGCATTATTTCTAGGTCCATCACCTCTGCCTCAGAGCACTCCAGGAGGACTGGAGATGGTATGCTGTCATGAGGAGATACTGTTGAGAGGGTGATGCCGTTGACCATGACGACAGTGAACTCCCAGGCTAGATCTTGTCAGCTCTGGATCACTTTGAAGTCCTGTGGGGACTGTTGATATCAGTGTGGGCATATCAAGAGAGATGGCCTCCCTGCCACACCACCCCATGCAGTAAATGTGCTGCAGGAGAGGAACAGCCATGCAACTGCCCAGGGTCAGCTCTGTCCAGGCCCTCACTCTCCCAGATCTCTGGCCAGACTTTTTTCCCATGCTGAAAAAGTGTGTCCTACCTGGTCCATCATGGCTCATTTACTGCCAGATAATTTACTGCTACAGGCAGGAGAAGAGGAGAAAAAGTTCTGCTGAGCCAACATGTCACATGCACCCACAGCCATGCTGTCCTGTTCCCTTTTGCCCCCGATCACGGGCACCGCATAGATACATGGAGCCGCTGCCTCGAGCTGCACCAGAGCAACAGTTCTTTGGGGCAAGGAAAAGAAAACCCTTCTCTGTGGACAACAGACCAAATGTGGTCCCTGTGTGTGGATCATGTCCTGATTTGCACAGCGAAGGCTGTCCGTGGTGGAGGGGAGAATACGTTGGCCAAGGGGACAGCAGTGAACTATTCATTCCTCTGACATGCTCATCATTAACAACAGGGGTGGATGAGCTGCTCCCCAACTCTGAAGAATAATAGTCCAGAAAAAAGCTCGCTCAGAGTTAATACTTTCTGCAAACTTGGAAATAAGTATTTCCAGCAGATTAGCCAGCTTTTGTCACACATTAATTCCGGATTTAAAAATATCTTAGCTATAGGCCAAGGAAGGGATGGCAAAGGTGCCAAAGTACTTAAGGAGTTGTCACTCTCCTTGCAACCTGATCAGCCAGGCACCTCGGGAGCACAAAGCCTTGCTGTCACAGCTAGATCGTGACATTTGATAAGGTGAAAGAGAGTGTTAACAGGATGGTATTA